AAGACTCCATTATATATTACATTTTCAAAGGGGAAAATGATGGCAAGTGATGTATCGCCACATCCCAACTGATTTAAAGCTGTGACAGATTAAAATAAAACTAGGCTATTAAATCAGTGAAGACACTGTGAATTCTGTTAGTCCTTTAGAATTTTAAAATAAGTTTGCTGTTTTTATGATCGTTTCTTTAGAAACACTTTAAAATCGGTAAGGCAGCCTTTCAATAAGCATCTTGATAAACTGCAGTTTAGTATTCAAGGTACATTTACAACTTGAAGAAAATGAAGTTGTAAGAAAGTTGATGAAACTGGGACATTTTTGTCATTTACTGTAACCTTTAAAACTTTAAAACTTTAAACTTTTAAACTTTAACCTTTGAAACATTATAACTAAAGTTTTAACCTTTAAAACTCAGAATTATTGGGGCTGGAGAGATAGCACAGCGGGTGGGGCGGGTGGGTGCACGCGGCTGATCTGGGTTCGATTCCCAGCATCCCATATGGTCCCCTGAGCACCGCCAGGAGTGACTCCTGAGTGCACAGCCAGGAGTGACCCCTGTGCATCGCCAGGTGTAACCCAAAAAGCAAAAAAAAAAAAAACTCAGAATTATTCTATTCAAGGTTACATGGATGACTATCTTTACTAGCAAGAGCTTCTAATTTGTATAAGTATAGATTGACCATAATATCAGTTTACAGAATTGTTTGAGATGAAAAAACCATCGGAAAAACCATCATATATATGCTAGGTTAGAATGGTATAGTGCTTGAGAAAAAAAAATCCAACAGCTGTCAATTAAATTGAAGCAATTAATGAAAAATTCTTACTCCATATGTGTTTCCAAAGTGGATAATTCCCTCAATGTGGTCTTGAAACTATATAGGAGGAAAATGTACACCTTGCACATCTTGTGTGCAATTGGAGAGTGCTTCCTAATTGTTCCCTTAAAGAAGGCAGATTTCCAGAAGAGGTGGTAAGTAATTTTTATTCTGAAAAGGGATAGTTCCAAATAAGTTTTGGAACTTCTTCACCAACTCTGGTAGTTTCATTTGATGTTTTACCATAGGTAATTTTAAAATTATTTATTTCAATAAGTTATATGTATACTAATTTTAAGAAGTAGAAATACCTTTAAAATTCCAAGGAAATATTCTTTTAGTTGTCATTTTTTCATTTATAATAGTCACATTCCTGATTCACAAGCTTTCAGACCATATCTGTGCAATACCAATAATAAACAAATACTTAGTACTTTGAGGAGGGTAATATTCAGCTGTAAATTTTAAATCTAAAGGCGGATAAAATTAAGGGAATATCAAACACACAAGGCAAAAAAAAAAAAAGAGAGACCACTGACTTCAAGAAGACATTAAAGGCATCCAGATAGGAAAGGAAGAAATCAAGCTCTCACTATTTGGAGATGATATGATACTATATCTCGGGAATCCTACCAAGAAACTCCTAGAAACAATAGACTTGTACAGTAAGGTCGCTGACTATAAAATCAATGCCCAAAAATCCATGGCCTTCCTATAGACAAATAATCAGAGAGAGGAAAGTGACATGAAAAAAATAATCCCGTTCACAACTGTGCCCCAGAAAATCAAATACCTTGGAATCAGCCTAACTAAAGAGGTAAAGGACCTCTACAATGAAAACTACAAAACGCTGCTCCAAAAAATAAAAGAGGACACAAGGAAATGGAAATATATCCCCTGCTCATGGATAGGAAGAATTAACATTGTCAAAATGGCAATACATTCGAAAGCATTATACAGATTCAATGCGATCCCTATGAGGATACCCATGAAATTCTTCAAAGAAATAGATCAAGCAACTCCTGAAATTCATATGCAACAACAAACGCCCACGAATAGCTAAAGCAATTCTTGGGAAAAAGACGTGGGGAGACATCACCCTCCCCAACCTCAAACTCTACTACAAAGCGGTAATAATTAAAACAGCATGGTACTGGAACAAAGGAAGGGCTGCAGACCAATGGAACAGGGTGGAATGTCCGTACACACAACCCCTGATGTATGAACATCTAATCTTTGATAAGGGAGCAAGAAATGTGAAGTAGAGCAAGAAAAGCCTCTTTAACAAATGGTGCTCGCATAACTGGACAACCACATGCAAAAAAATGGGCTTAGACTTCGACTTAACACCATGCACAAAAGTCGGATCAAAATGGATTAAAGATCTCAACATCAGGCCAAAATCCATAAGGTACACTGAAGACAAGGTCAGTAAAATCCTCCACTATATTGAGGCTAACGGTTTCTTCAAAGACGACACTCCACTGACCAACCAGGTGGAAACAGAGATAAACAAATGGGACTATCTTTTTTTTTTTTTTTGCTTTTTGGGTCACACCCTGCAATACACAGGGGTTACTCCTGGCTCTGAACTCAGGAATTACTCCTGGCGGTGCTCAGGGGACCTTATGGGATGCTGAGAATAGAACCCGGGTTGCCCGCGTGCAAGGCAAATGTACTACCCGCTGTGCTATTGCTCCAGCCCCAAATGGGACTATCTTAAATTAAGAAGCTTCTGCACCTCAAAAGATACAGTGACCAGAATACAAAGACAATCTACAGAATGGGAAAGGATATTTACCCAATACCCATCTGATAAGGGGTTGATATCAAGGATATACAAAGCACTTGTTGAACTCTACAAAAAAGAAAACCATAAAAAATGGGGCAATGAAATGAACAGAAGCTTTTCAAAAAAAAAGAAATACGAATGGCTACAAGACACTTGAGAAAATGCTCTATATCACTAATCATCAGGGAGATGCAGATCAAAACAACAATGAGATATCATTTCACCCCACAGACACTGGCCCACATCCAAAAGAACAAAAGCAACCAGTGTTGGTGTGGATGTGGCGAGAAAGGAACTCCCCTTCCCTGCTAGTGGGAATGCCGACTGGTTCAGCCTTTTTGGAAACCAGTATGGACGATTCTCAAAAAATTAGAAATTGAGCTCCAATTTGACCCAACTATACTATTCCTGGGAATATATCCCTGAGAGGCAAAAAAGTACAGTCAAAATGACATTTGCACTTCTATGTTCATTGCTGCACTATTCACAATGGCCAAAATCTGGAAATAAACCGAGTGCCCGAGAACAGATGACTGGTTAAAGAAACTTTGATACATCTACACAATGGAGTACTATGCAGCTGTTAGAAAAGATGAAGTCATGAAATTTACATACAAGTGGTACTACATGGAAAGTATCATGCTAAGTGAAATGAGTCAGAAAGAGAGGGACAGACATAGGAAGACTGCATTCATCTGGGGAATATAAAGTAACAAAATAGGAGACTAACACCCAAGAATAGCCGAGATAAGTACCAGGTGGTTCACTGCATGGCTTGGAGTCCAGCCGCACGTGCTAGGGGGAAAGGCAGCTCAGATAGAGAAGGGAACACCAAATAAAGGGTGTTGGGAGGATCCTCCCAGGATGAGAGACGCATGCTGAAGTAGACTATAGACTGAACATGATTGCCACTCAATGCCTCTTTTGCGAACCACAGCACCCAAAAGGAGACAGAAAACAAAAGGGAATGCCCTGCCACAGGGGTGGGTTGGGATGGTGGGGTTGGGGTGGTGGGAGGGATACTGGGAGCACTGGAGGTGGAGAATGGGCACTGGTTGTGGGATGGGTACTCAATCATTGTATAACTGAAACCCAAGCACAAAAAAATTGTAAGTCTACAACTGTACCACATGGTGTTTCACTAATAAAAATAATAAGAAAAAGAGAGTCATTTGAAATAAAAATAAAGCAAGCACTTTATATCTCATACAAAACTTTCGTGCCTTATGGTATTTTGTGCTTTTTGGTACAGCTATTTACTACTCTCTGCTAGCATACGGACCAAAAATGACTAACTGCACATTTTTTGAAAACCATATTTTTGTGTTTTTTTCTTTCAGAAACCACACTCCTTTTCTAAAACATCTAGCTACAGTGGTGGCACTTGTATGTTTCATTAACAAAGAAGAAATCCCTAAATGATTTTCTAAGAAATAAACCACTCAACAGGTAATTCCAACCATCTCATTCAAAATCATTCCCATCACAGAAACAGATGTTGAAACAAACCAAAAACAAACCAAAAAACCCAATTTAGAATAACTCATAGTGTCTCAGTTGGGCAATTCCATTTATGACAACTCACCACTCTTGGGGTTTACAGTGATGTAGCAGAAGGTGAAAAAATCAAAAATATAAAATATACTCTGTGTAAATAAGGTTAATGCTAAGGGAAAGAACACACCTATTAATTATGGTTTATGTAGACATAGAAATCTCCCCCTCTTGATTCTAAAGTCTCCTCCTCCTCCTTCTCCTCCTCCTCTTCCTCTTCTTCCTCCTCCATCTCCTCCTCCTTCCCCTCCTCCTCCTCCTCCTCCTCCTCCTCCTCCTCCTCCTCCTCCTCCTCCTCCTCCTCCTCCTCCTCCCCCTCCCTCTCCTCCTTCTCTTTCTCCTCCTTTCTTGAGTTTGGGACCACACTCTAGCTGTACTCTTAAGTTACTCCTGGCTCTGTGCTCAAGGATCATTCATGTTGGTGCTTGGAGACCACATATGTAGTGCCAAGAATGAGATCAAGGTCAGCCACATGCAAGGCAGGACCTTAACCTCTGTACTTTCTCTCCGGCCCCAATCCTAATTGTTTTTATAGTGTCTGACTGGCCGACTTTAAGTGTATACTAGAAACAAATATAAAGTTAATTAAGCTGACATTGATTGTTATTTGAATTCATTTGAATTCATCTTTCAAACAGAAGTTGGCAATTGGTGGTTTCCTGGAAGAGCAAGGGTAATAATACGCCTAATGTTATTTTAACACAAACATGTTTTTTTCATTACGTTTCTTAAAAATACGGTTGGTGTTGACTCTGGTTATGACCAGCAATCAGAAACGTGGGTGCATGTACGTGCAGAAATGTATCAGAGCACGGTCACTTTGCATTCTCACTGACCTTCGGGTTGATATTGTGCTATAATTGTCACCGTGTGTCCAGCTCCCTTTAGCGCAGCAGCAGCTTGTTCATGTGACGCTCCACGAAGATCAATGCCATTCACCTGAAGGGGGGCACAAAAATGTTATTATTTCATAGGGTATAGTATTCCGAGAGAAGAACAAAGATTCTCAACACTGCAAGTTTGAAACTATGTCCTGGGGCTGGAGCGATAGCACAGCGGACAGGGCATTTACCTCGTACGTCCTGGGATGCGGATCGGATAGGGCGTTTACCTTGTATGCATCCCATATGGTCCCCGAGCACCACCAGGAGTAATTCCTGAGTGCAGAGCCAGGAGTAACCCCATGTGCAGCTCCTGGTGTCATCCAAAAATCAAATCAAATAAGATAAAACTATGTCCCGTGTTTTAAAAGCCTCAAAAATACTTCCAAGGTACTCAAGTATGAATAAAATAAGTTTCATGGCTTGGAGTAACTTTTGGTCATGGTCTGAATGGGTTGAAACTTTGTATTCTAGGATTTCAGTATGTGTATTTAATATGACTCTGTGAATTTCCTAAATTTCTGGGCTACAGAAAGAGTCTTCAAAATTAGAAGAAAAATAGCGTAATAATGAGAAACACAAGTAATGTACATAGAAAAGTATGTGATGACAGATTAAGATAATCAGAGGGGACTGTATGGAACGGGATTGGCTGCTGGCCAAATCTCTCTCTTTGGTCCTGTGCCTGGTTCTGTCGTCCTGAATTTGGTGAGAAAGCACTGAGTTTTGTTCCAAAATAAACTTAACTGCCCTATTTATCCACCAGAATTCCAGAATGAATTCTGACAAAATGAAATAAAGTATGTCTGGAGTTGGTGTTACTCTTGCTAACTCCCATTTTTGGTCTCATGCCATGAGACTGAGAACACTTGAAAAACAGGCTAAAATTTCTGCCGAAAGGAAAAAATCATCCTGAAATCAAATTTAATGAGAAGCAAAAGTAAAAACCGTTCTTAACTCAATTCAGTCTAAGTAAACACTGTAATTGCTGAGTGCTTTCTAATGACAGTGTTCTGGCTCTGCCTTGGGAGAGGTACTGGGGGTGGGGTACAAAGATGAATAAGACAAGTATTTTGAAAACATTTCTGCTTCAATTAAACACACAGTAAGTTCAGTTTCTAAGCTGCACAGTTAGGTTCTGTGTAACCATTATAAAATTCTACTTCCTCTTATTTTCAGAGAAGATGGCTACAGCCATAAAGTAGAATAAGAGAATTGAATGAGTTTCTCTACACATAAATATGGAATTATATTTTTTTCTCCTAATCAATATGCTTTAAAATGGTATCGCATAGTGGAGATAGTTACAATTGTGTTCCCCTATCGGGCCTGGGAATTTGTAATATCCAATATCGTAACTTGGGCCTTAAATCATAAATTTTTTAAAATTCTTATTGAGGAAACAAATGCAGTGCAGCACTTGTATTGAGCGTCAGCTTGTTATTCAGGTTCACTCCTGCCTGCTAAGCGGATAAGGAAGAGGAAGGCTGTTAGCCACCCAGGCTTGGCTTGGCTCAGCCCGCGTCCCAGAAAACTGAGGACACACAGAGCCATTGGGAGTGACTTTTACTGAGGATTGCCCTTCATTCCCCAGGTAAATTCCTCCTGCCCACAAAGCACATGACTAGTAAGCAGCTGCATGTTTCTTTGCCTTTCCATAACTCACTATGAACATACAAAGACATCCTAACTGTGACACCTAGTCACATAAAACACAAGAAGCAACTTCAGACTAAGTCACAAAGGGAAAGCAATGCAGAAGCCCACCGGGTTTAGTGAGTGAAGACCTTAGCTGCCTCTTTTGCAAACCATAGCACCCAAAAGGAGAGAGAGAACAAAAGGGAATGCCCTGCCACAGAGGCAGGGTGGGATGGGGGGAATGGGGGATGGGAGGGATCCTGGGATCTGTGGTGGTGGAGAATGGGCACTGGTGGAGGGATGGGTACTCGATCATTGTATAGCACAAAAATTTTTAAGTCTACAACTGTACCTCAAGGTGTTTCACTAATAAAAATTTAAAAAAACTCGACCAGTAATAATGGGTTATATAACCTCTGATAAGGTGTTTAGAAAGAAATTTAAGACAAGTTCCACAATGCCAAACTCCTGCAAAAAGATGACAAAAATCTCCATGGCATTAATTTCTCTCAATGTCAATGGGTTAAATGCACTAATTAAGAGACACAGAGTGGCAGGAAGATTTTAAAAACTGAGCACAATAATCCTCTGCCTGCAAGAAACACATCTGAAAGTCAGCGCAAGCAGACTCAAAGTCAAAAGTTGGAAGTTAATTCTTCAAGCAAATTCTACCCCCCACCCCCTCAATAAAAAGTCTGGGGTGGCCACACTAGTAACAGATGACATAAACTTCAGGCTGAAAATATTGGAAAAGATAGAAAGTTCATTTTAAATAATTTTTTCCAGTAATGTCACATGTTTATTAAGTATCTTGATATACCTGAAACCATAAAATACATAGAAGGAATAGTTATGCACTCCTATACTTTGAAATCACATAAGTATTCAGAGATTTAAAACCAATGTCTAGAAAAACAGAAAATAAAAGAAATAGAATAAATAAAATTTAAAAAATACTCTTTGCATGATGATATAAACTTATTCAAAAAGAAAAGTAAAACTACTAGATGAGAGATTATATTTGAACATCAGTCATCCAATAGTGGGTCACATCCAATATGTATAAATAAGCAGATAACAAACAGGAACGCAAACCACCCAATCTTTTTTTTTAATTAGTTAATCACCATGAGGTATAGTTAGAAACTTACAGACTTTCGTGTTTGCATTTCAGTCATACAATGATAGAGTACAGCATCCCCACCCTGTCCCCTCCTCTTTGGCAGGGCATTCCCTTTTTTCTCTCTCTCCTTTTGGGTGTTGTTGTTTGCAACATTGTGTTTGGTCCATAGTCTACTTTCGGCATGCATCTCCCAACCCGAGCGGGTCCTCCCAATATCCTTTACTTGGTGTTCCCTTCTCTATCTGAGCTGTACGTGAGGCCAGCTTCCAGGCCATGGGACAAGACTTCTGGTCCTTATCTCTAATATTTTTGGGTGTTAGTCTCCTATTCTGTTACTTTATATTCCACAGATGAGTGTAATCTTTCTATCTGTCCTTCTCTTTCTGGCTCATTTCACTTAACATGATACTTTCCACATTGATCCATTTATATTCAAATTTTCATGAGTTCGTCTTTTCTTTTTTAAATTATATTTATTTATTTGGCTGGAGCTATAGCATGGTGGGTAGGGCGTTTGCCTTGCATGCAGCCAACATGGCCGACCCGAGTTCATTCCTCTGCCCCTCTCAGAGAGCCTGGCAAGCTACCGAGAGTATCTCACCCACACGGCAAAGCCTGGCAAACTACCTGTGATGTATTCGATATGCCAAACACAGTAACAAGTCTCACAATGTTACTGGGCTGGCTCAAGCAAATCGATGAACAATGGGAGGTTAGTGATAGTGATAGTGATAGTGATAGTGATTTATTTATTTATTTTTTAATTAATTTAATTTTTATTAGTGAAACACCATGGGGTACAGTTGTAGACTTACAAACTTTTGTTCTTGGGTTTCAGTTATACAATGATCGAGTACCCGTCCCTCCACCAGTGCCCATTCTCCACCACCAATGATCCCAGTAACCTGCCCACCCCCCAGCGCAGCCCCCCACCTGCCCCACCTCTGTGGCAGGGCATTACCTTTTGTTCTCTCTTTCCTTTAGGGTGTTGTGGTTTGCAATAGAGGTATGGAGTGGCCATCGTGTTTGGTCTATAGTCTAATTTCAGCACGCATCTCCCATCCCGGGTGTGCTGTTCCCTTTACTTGGTGTTCCGTTCTTTATCTAAGCTGCCTTTTCCCCCAGCATGCACTACCAGCTTCCAAGCTATGGAGCAAACCTCCTGGTACTTATCTCAACTATTCCTGGGTGTTAGTCTCCCGTTCTTTTACTTTATATTCCCCAGATGAGTGCAGTCTTTCTATGTCTGTCCCTCTCTTTATGACTCATTTCACTTAGCATGATACTTTCCATGTAGAACCACTTACATGCAAATTTCATGACTTCATTTCTAATAGCTTCATAGTATTCCATTGTGTAGATGTATCAAAGTTTCTTTAACCAATCATCTGTTCTAGGACAATCAGTTTTTCCCCCCAGATTTTAGCTATTTTAAACAGTGCAGCAATGAACATAGAAGTGTAGATGTCACTTTGACTGTACTTTTTTGCCTCTCTGGGATATATTCCCAGGAGTGGTATTGCTGGGTCAAATGGGGGCTCAATTTCTACTTTTTTGAGAATCATCCATACTGTTGACATTCCCACCAGCAGTGAAGGGGAGTCCCTTTCTCCCCACATCCGTGCCAACTCCAGTTGTTCTTATTCTTTTGGATGCGGGTCAGTCTCAGTGGTGTAAGATGATATCTCATTGTTGTTTTGATCTGCATCTCCCTGATGATTAATGATGTAGAGCATTTTCTCATGTGCTTTTTTGCCATTCGGATATCTTCTTTGAGAAAGTTTCAGTTCATTTCATTGCCCCATTTTCTGATGGGTTGGATGTTTTCTTCTTGTAGAGTTCAACCAGTGCCTAGTATATCCTTGATATCAACTGTATATCAGATGAGTATTGGGTGAATATCCTTTCCCATTTCGTAGACTGTCTTTGTATTTTGGTCACTGTTTCTCTTGAGGTGCAGAAGCTTCTCAGTTTAAGGTAGTCCCATTTGTTTATCTCTGTTTCAACTTGTTTGGCCAGTGGCATGTCACTTTGAAGATACCTTTAGCTTCAATGTCATGGAGGGTTTTTCCAACCTTGTCTTCAATGTACCTTTTGGATTCTGGTCTGATGTTGAGGTCTTTAATCCATTTTGATCTGACTTTTGCACATGGTGTTAGACAGATGTCTGAGCCCATTTTTTTCATGTAGCTGTCTACTTTTGCCCGCACCATTTTTTTTATAGTTTTCTTTATCTCTTTTTATTGATTAAGCACCATTTATTAAAGAGGATTTCCTTGCTCCACTTCCCATTTCTT